CTTCCCCTCCCTTTTCCCTCTTCCCTCCTCCTCCTCCTCCTAACCGCCGTCCCGGCTCAGGCTTTGGGAGGCGGCGAGCCCAAGCAGTGACAGCTGCCAAACGCGTCGCCCCGATACCCAACGCCAACACAACACAGCGTGAACACGGGCCGACCGTGACACATTCGTTACGCGACAGACGATGACCAGTCAGAGAGACGGGGTGTACGAGCCAGCTTGGCACAAGCGCAGACGCAGCGCCAGAGCCCAGGCTAGAACACTGGTCAGAGTCGCAGCAGCAGCAGCAACATAACCCTTACAGAGTCATCACAGCACAATGCGTCATCATAATTACGCGCCCAACAGGACGTCGGGGTGGTCAGGCAAATCAAACGTGTGGGAGTGCTCGATTTGCAGCAGGTCAAATCCGCCAACATCAGCCTCTTGCAGATTGTGTGCAGTATCGCCCACCCAGAAGCAAACGAAAGCAGAAATCGAGGAGGAAGCAGAGGCACTGGAGGATCCACGGCCATGGGGAAAAGGTGTCACGCGCGAGGCGTTGGCACAGACCCAATCAACAACAGTGGCAGCAGCAATAGTGGTAGTCGTCGTCAGAGAACGCACGTGCGAGATCCCAAGCACCGATCTGGAGCAAGTACAGCGACAAGAAAAATCCGCTCATAATCGGTCCAACAGAGCCACATGTAACAGGATAGCATAGGTTGTGGGTTACCAATGTCCAAGAAAACATCATACTTGCACACGCATCGCCATCATTTGAAAACGTAATTGGCTGCGATCGAGGTGCAGTTGGCAGTTGGATATGACATTGGCCACAAGAGAGCCACACTCGCCGATGGGACCGGCTTTGCAATCACAATGTATCCAATCATGTTTGCGAGACCGCCAGCTGAGGAATGATCGCCATCAAACTTAGTACGGAGAGAGAGAGTGTAGGAGCGACCCAATGATTTCGTCACTACACAAGATGATGCGAAGAAATATATCCAAGAAAGCCATACGCACACAGCTTATGATTGCCAGGGCTTGGAGCAAGCCATGGACTTGCAAAGTCATTTCAACGCGCTGGCAAACAATGCGTTGATGGACAAAAAGGAACAGATCAGTGACGTGGAGGACGTTGATGAGGACATGACAAGTGAGTCACAGGCACGCCCAGTCAAACAGAGAGCAGAAGACCCCAGTTCGCCAGAATCAACGGCGCATCCCACGAGCCCGACAAGCACAGCGGACTTAGCGCAAAGCACAACACTGCCAGCCACGCCCGCCGCGATGCAGGCGAACAACAATGAGAGGCAGCGGCGTGGAATGGGGATTCCCCGCTGCAATGTCCCGGCGGAGAACCGCGGGTCACGCCCGGAGGCCGCGAGGAAAACATCCACCTCCACGCCCATATCCTCCATAACGTCCACCACCTCATCCTTCTCCGCCCTCCGCAACAAGCACCTGCTCGTGCACCTTCTCAAGCAGCGCCACCCTGGCATCCCCCTCCCCATCGTCCTCCTCCTCCTCCTGGCCATCCTGGGTTTCCTCCTCCTCCTCCTCGTCCTGCTGCTCCTCCTCCTCCTCCTCCTCATCCTCCTCCTCGTCCTGCTGCTGCTGCTGCTCCTCCTCCCTTACCTCCTCCTCCCTTACCTCCTCCTCGTCCTCCTCCCCCTCCTCCTCCTCCACCTGCTCCTGCACCAGACCATGAATAAAACGCGGCAGGCTGCATGAATAAGACGGCGCCGATGCACCTACATCCGCGGGCAGCTTGCGCGCGGGTGGACCGCTTCTGTCAAAGCCTCGTCTACCCCCTCGGGGGCGGTTAACCACCCATCCTGCTAGCAGACCGTGGAGGCCTTGGATAAGGGAGATCCACTTGCGTGGAACGGGGGGGGGGCAGAAGTTGTCCGCCCCCAATCATTGTGAGCTCTCTACCCTCCGTCCGTGTCATCTCCCTCCCCCCCTACTTCCTCCTCCCTCCCGCCTGCCTCCTCCCTCCCCCCCCCCTCCCACCTCCCTCCCACCCTTCCTCCGCCTCAGATCCCCTGGAGGAGGAGGGCAAATGAGCGGTGCGGTTGCGGTTGCGCGCCCGCGGGCGGGTTGAAATGTCTCGCCCAGGTGCGGTCGCGGTTGCGCGCCCACCGGCGGGTTGGAATGTGTCGCCCAGTTGCGCTTGCGCGCCCGCGGGCGGGTTGAAATGTGTCGCCCAGTTGCGGTTGCGGTTGCGCGCCCGCAGGCGGGTTGAAATGTGTCGCCCAGGTGCGGTTGCGGTTGCGCGCCCGCGGGCGGGTTGAAATGTGTCGCGCAGCTGCGGTTGCAGTTGCGCGCCCGCGGGCGGGTCGAAATGTGTCGCCCAATTTCTGTTGCAGTTGCGCGCCCGCGGGCGGGTTGAAATGTGTCGCCCAGTTGCGGTTGCGGTTGCGCGCCCGCGAGCGGGTTGAAATGTGTCGCCCAGCTGCGGTTGCGCTTGCGCGCCCCTGGGCGGGTCGAAATGTGTCGCGTAGTTGCGGTTGAGGTTGCGCGCCCGCGAGCGGGTTGAAATGTGTCGCCCAAGTGCGGTTGCGTGCCCGCGGGCGGGTCGAAATGTGTCGCCCAGTTGCGGTTGAGGTTGCGCGCCCGCGAGCGGGTTGAAATGTGTCGCCCAGTTGCGGTTGCGGTTGCGTGCCCGTGGGCGGGTTGAAATGTGTCGCCCAGGTGCGGTTGCGGTTGCGCGCCCGCGGGCGGGTTGAAATGTGTCGCCCAGTTGCGTTCGCGCGCCCGCGGGCGGGTTGAAATGTGTCGCCCAGGTGCGGTCGCGGTTGCGCGCCTGCGGGCGTGTCGAAATGTGTCGCCCAGTTGCGGTTGCGGTTGCGCGCCCGCGGGCGGGTTGAAATGTGTCCCCCAGGTGCGCTTGCGCGCCCACGGGCTGTTTGAGATGTGTCGCCCAGGTGCGGTTGCGGTTGCGCGCCCGCGGGCGGGTTGAAATGTGTCGCCCAGGTGCGGTTGCGGATGCGCGCCCGCGAACGGGTCGAAATGTGTCGCCCAGGTGCGGTTGCGCTTGCGCGCCCGCGGGCGGGCGAAATGTGGCGCCCAGTTGCGGTTGCGGATGCGCGCCCGCGGGCGGGTTGAAATGTGTCGCCCAGGTGCGCTTGCGCGCCCACGTGCGGTTTGAAATGTGTCGCCCAGGTGCGGTTGCGCTTGCGCGCCTGCGGGCGGGTCGAAATGTGGCGCCCAGTTGCGGTTGCGGATGCGCGCCCGCGGGCGGGTTGGAAAGTGTCGCCCAGGTGCGCTTGCGCGCCCACGGGCGGGTTGAAATGTGTCGCCCAGGTGCGGTTGCGGTTGCGCGCCCGCGGGCGGTTTGAAATGTGTCGCCCAGGTGCGGTTGCGGATGCGCGCCCGCGGGCGGGTCGAAATGTGGCGCCCAGCTGCGGTTGCGGATGCGCGCCCGCGGGCGGATTGAAATGCGTCGCCCAGTTGCGGTTGCGCGCCCGCGGGCGGGGTGAAATTTGTCGCCCAGGTGCGGTTGCGGTTGCGCGCCTGCGGGCGGGTCGACATGTGTCGACCAGGTGCGGTTGCGGTTGCGCGCCCGCGGGCGGGTAAAAAAATGTGTCGCCCAGGTGCGGTTGCGCTTGCGCGCCCACGAGCGGGTTGAGATGTGTCGCCCAGGTGCGGTTGCGGTTGCGCGCCCGCGGGCGGGTTGAAATGTGTCGCCCAGGTGCGGTTGCGGTTGCGCGCCCGCGGGCGGGTTCAAAGGTGTCGCCCAGGTGCGGTTGCGCGCCCGCGGGCGGGTTGAAATGTGTCGCCCAGGTGCGGTTGCGGTTGCGCGCCCGCGGGCGGGTTGAAATGTGTCGCCCAGTTGCGGTTGCGGTTGCGCGCCCGCGGACGGGTTGAAATGTGTCGCCCAGTTGCATTTGCGTGCCCGCGGGCGCTTGGAAATGTGTTGTTCAAGGTGCCCTTCTGACGTTCAGTCACTCAATCAGTCAATCAATCAGTCAGTCACCGGCGGGCGCGGAATTTCACCCGGCTCCGCCGGGAATAACATGGTTACCTAGCTGGTGAAGCTGGCCAGGCAGATGGCTGCAATACAGATCGCGTTGACGAGGGCTGGCGTCATGCAGCCCCCGCAGCAGCAGCAGGAGCCCCAGCCAGTCCAACCGCAATCATCAGGGCAGCCAGCAGCAGCAGACCCAACCACGGTTGCAGCGCCAGGAGACACGAGAGATCATCACGAGCCAATGCCATTGCAGGACGAGATCTCTCCGTCGCCAGACGGGCAAGGGCAGCTACTGAACACCGCCAAGAAGATAGCCGAGCCGCCCAAGCCATCCCTCCAAAGGTCCAGCAGCCCAAGCTCAAGCCGAAGGACAAGGACAAAGTGAAGGCCAAGACCCATTGCATGGAGGCCTTCGCCAAGGGGGGGGAAACGTCAAGCAGCAGGAGGACGACGATGACCTTCCCTCCCTCAGCTCCGGCGGCAAACCGCCGCACATGGAGGAGCAAGAGCAGCAAGTTGGTCGCTATCGAATTCGGGGCCTACAGCGCCTGCCGCTCGAAGCTCCCCAGCGGGCTCGCGCGTCACAGGCGCATCCAGACGAGGTCTTGCATGCAGTCTACTCCCAGGAATGACGCAACGTTTCACACCATTAGTACGCCTTGGCCTGAACGTTTCTGTGATCATATCATCTCTTGCGCTCCTTTTTAGCACTTAGCTACGATTCGGGGTCTAGCAGAGTTGGAATCGGAGCATCACATCGGAAGCCATAGGAGGCGAGGCTGCCGATAAACAGAACGAGCCAGGTGCGAGGTCCCACGACTTTTTGCAAGAGACGGACCAAGGAGCCCCGTCAACATGTTTGCCATCTTTCTCAGGAAAGGCCGGCGCTTGGTCGGCTCCAGGCCGCAAGGCACACACGCGCAGGATCGAATACACTGAGTGCAGCGCCACGCAGCATATGGGCCAGTACACAGCGTGGATGCAGCATACCGCACGACCCAGCCAAATTCAATGGTCCAGATGCGCAGGCGCTTTTCAAGAGCAAATTTGCAGGTGTTTCCAGAGATACCGCTTGAGGTATCAACATCGGACCATGCACACGTGTGCGATGCTCATGCCCGTGCAGTTTTGCAGGAAGCCTTCCCGACAAGGCAGACCACGAGATTGCAGTCGAAGAGGCAGACACGTGACGTAATACTTTCGCACGGTTGCCGCAATATCTAACGCATGACATCCCAGAGCAGGGAGCCTTTTTGCCAGCTCTGCACGAGCTCCAAAGAAATTGCTTACGTGCCAAACCATCGGCCGCCAGCCTCGACGGCATATCAGGCAGCCGGTTGCACAGATTCGGAGTGGAGCCCGGTGGAGTATATTATCCCATATTACTCAGAACAGTTACGAAGATGGACGAGCCCATGCAGGGGAAGGGGGGGTGCTACTGGGATATATGGAAAGGATCAGCATTCCTTATGCTAGGCTTAGTACCGGGGCAACAGTTGGGAGATGTGGTTCTCAATTTTGTGATGGCGGAGTGCGTCGATGCAGCAGTGGCACAGCTAACAACACAAGGATACCCATTGGAGGTTCCCACAGCAGGTGAGAGATCGCTCACGGCCACGCTCGCATCAGGAAACGACAAGGCTGTCCAGGCCATCGACATTTGTATTTTTGATGACGGCGCTTTCGTCATCCTCGGCAGGGCTCAGCAGCTTTTGAACATCGTTTCAGGTCACCAGATACTGAAATCAAGATGCAGCTCCTTGACTCGCTCATCACGCCCTCGGAGCTATTTGATGCTGGCACGTGGCATGGCATGACGGAGGCGCAAGAGCGCTCCTTATGCAGCAGAATTCTCACCAAGTGCCGTTCAGCAGCACGCATGGCCAAATATGATTGCAATGCAGTCAGTGACTCACTGGTTCTTGCAGCTGTACGAGGAGCATCTTCCCAATATCGATACAGGTCCCTGGGAAGCCCTCATCTGCAGGTCATTGCAATCATGGAGGCAACTACTCCGGCGTGCGCAAACCAACCATGCTTCTGCTTCTAGGCGCCTCTCTATTGCAGCAGCAGCGGAAACAGTTTTTTTCGACAGCGTCAGACCATGCGGAGTGCCATTGCCCATCACACACCGAGAGCATGCATTGCGACAAGCGGAGCAGTCACGCATTCGTAAGACATGTTGAGCTTGTCGTGGGCCGATCTTCTACATGCAGAGCATGCGCTACTTCTTCTCCCAGAGAAGGCAAGTCAGAGACCATCTGGCATTCGATTCGGTAAGGTGCTGTTCAGTATATTTTCTGCATGGGGCGAAGGCTCCGGCTGCCATCGCCAGGGCGTGGGCCCAAGACGACGCAGCAGAGATGCGAGCTCAAAGGAGAGCTGGTCTAGGACGTTGGAGATCAGCATTTCCAGCCACCACGCATGTGCAATGGAAGCTATACCAGTGCGTATTCACAGAGCGTAGATATGTATTCTTCATTTTTCTGGCATGCGAAGGTCAGGTGACGTTCAGTCCCACATCGAGGCCGAAGCCATCATGCCAGGATGCCAGATCACAATGCTCTCGGTTGACATAGCCATACACACGTTGAAGGGGGATCTACAAGGAGGCAAACCATAAACGAAACAGCAGGAAGAACTGGAGACGGGTAACAAACTCTTGTTTGCGCTTGTGCAATTACTAGGAGACCACGTTGCTGCAGGACCGAGCGGATGGATGGAGCATCCACAGCCGGCAGTATGGAGACAGCAAGCACCCACATCTTTCATGTGGGGTCCGCACAGATGTTGACCATTTACGTCGTCGCCTGTCCCTCCTGCCGCTGCTGTAGCCGCTCGTGCTGCTGCCGTCGCCCCCTCCTCCCCCGTGAGCGCGCCGCTGCCCGTCCCAGAAGAGGGCGACAAGGAGGCTTCCTCCAGAGCGGAGCCCGAGGCCTGGGACGCCGAAGCGGCGGCAGCTGACGACGCGCTCGGGCCCTTCGAGCCCGAGGAGGCCGGGAAGGTCCCTGCTGTTCCCTCTCCGTCCTCTCCTCCTCCCCCTTCACCACCACCACCTGTGGAGCTCTCAGACGGGCAAGAGGCTCGGATTCAGAGGAATCGCGAAGCTGCCAGAGCATTGCGCCATAAGCGCCGTGCCCCTTGGTTCTTCACCTCCATGTTATGGCCTGAAGGTTAGAATTCACCTTGTGTGCTTGCACCCATGGCAACATATTTTCTCCTGGCAATGTGTTCCCGCAAGTTTGCACGCATTGACTGCCATGCCACCGTTGCACCATCACCTCCTCCTCCTCCTCCATCCTCCCCCCCCTCCTCTTCCTCCTCCTCCTCCTCCTCCTCCTGCTCCTCCTCCTCCTCCTGGTCCTATTCCTCATCCTCCTCCTCCTCGTCCTCCTCCTCTTCCTCATCATGCGCCTCTCCCTCTTGATTCCCATTCTCCTCCTCCTCCTCCTCCTCCTCCTCGCCCTCTTCCGTCCTCCTTCTCCAGCTCGTCGTCACGAGCCAGCCTGACAGGCTGGGTCTCCATGGTGTACGAAGAATCCTCCTCCTCCTCCACACCGTCTCCCCCTTCCGTCCTGCCCTTCCAGCTCGTGGTCAAGGGCCAAGCTGGCAGGCTGGGAAACAAAGGAAATGTACGAGAGTCCCCAAACCCTACGGTCGCAACTGAAGCCTGGAGATGTGGAGGTACTGGAGGAGGACGAGGGGAGGTGGAGGGGGGATGAGGAGGGAGGAGGGAGGGAACTGGATGAGAGAGGGAGATGAGAGAGGGAAGAGAGGAGAGGGAGGAGAGACAAGGTCGGAGGAAGGAAGGAAGGTGGAGGCGTTGGAGGGGGAGAAGGAGAAGGGAGGGATAATGGGGAGGGAGGGAGGGAGCGGGAGAGAAGACCCCGCGACCTTGCCGTTCTCGTCGTACTGCGAGCCGTGGCAGGGGCAGCAGAACTTGTTGGCGGAGCGGACCCACGGCACCACGCACCCGAGGTGGGTGCACGTCGCGTTGATCGCGAAGTCCTTGATGCCGTCCGGCGTGGAGATGAGGTAGTACGCATCACCCTTGAGGCCCTGCACCAACTCACGGTCGTTGTCCTTGTCTCCTCCCTCTTCTGCTCATCCGATCGTACCCCGCAAACAGTCACACGGCCGCTGCGGACTTCACACTGGAATGCATGGCGGAGCAACCTCAACCACGAAAAGAAATATGGATGAACGCTAGCCGGCATGGACCCCAACCAGTGCGGTACTGCACTGTGAGGATGCAAGCTATATAAGGTGTGAGCTGTGTGGCGAAAGCTATTTAGTGTAGTTTATGCTGCGTGAGCTACGGAAGTCAAAACTATGCGGAGCAAGCTGGGTGCTACGTCGTGTAAGCTAGGCGATGCGGCCTGGAGGTGAAACTATGTGATGTCAACTGCGTGAAGGAAGCTATGCTGCGTAGTATATGCGGCGTAAGCTGTGTCGTGGGAACTGTGCGATGCAAGCTATGTCGTGAAGGCTGTGCCGTGTAAGCTCAGAGCACGGGGCGCCTACGAGGCACCCACGAGGCGGCACGGCCGGCATCGTGGCGCAACCTCGGTACACCCCCCAGCGCAGGGGGCGCCCACGAGGCGTCACGGGAGACAACGTGGCGCAACCTCGCCCCCCCCCCCCCCCGCCAGCGCACGGAGCGCCCGCGAGGCGGCGCGGGCGGCAACGTGGGGCAAGCTCCAGAGCGCAAGGCGCCCAAGAGGCGGCACGGATGGCAACGTGGCGCAACCTCGGCATACCCCCCGAGCGCGGGACGCCCGCGAGGCGCCCACGAGGCGGCACGGGCGAAAAACTGGAACACCCTAACACATTACCTAATGAAGAGGAGTGAGAGCTTCGGTATCCCACCGAACCTCTGGGCGTAGGTGGTCTAACGAACGTGCGCCCAGTCTCTGCTGAAATCCCTCCTCCCCACTGCTCGCGGGAGGGGGGTACCCCTCCCCCCAACTCCCCCCCCCCTGGGCCTGGGAGGGGGGGGGGGGCGAGGGCCCGAGAAGTCAGAGGGCGCCGTTTAATCCAAGATGGCTTCAAAGCGGGCCTCCGCGAGTCCAGGATGGTTTCCAAGATGGGCCAAGACACCTCAAGATGGTTCAAGATAGCTTCCGACGCACATCCAACCGGCCTCACGACGGCCCCTAGAATCCTCCGAGGCCGCCCCTCCAAAGAGGCCAGCATTGCTCCGAAAACTTGGGGAAATCGATGTTGCTTGCCTTCTCGCGTTTTCGCTTCCGATGGGCCTTGGAGGCCTTAAGATGGCCCGAACACGGCCCAAGATGGGCCCAAGAGGGACCCAAGAGGGCCCCAGAGCGCTTGAAGAGCGACTTGAGATGGCCCCAAGACGCCATGTTTAAGCTTCCAAGAAGGGGGGGGGGGGGGGGGGGGGGCGAATTAATACCCCCTCGTTGAGCCATGGGGCCCAAGAGGCCTCCCAGACCCATCGAATGAGCCCCAAGAGGGCCTCAAGACCCCCAATACGAGCCCCAAGAGAGCCCCAAGAGTGCCCCAAGAGGCCCCACGGGGACCCCGAGAGAGCCCCTGAGATGGCCTTAGTCGTCCCTCAAGTACCTCTCATAACAACATATCTCCGAAGCCCAGCTTCTCATCCTCCTTGTCTCTGTTCCTTCCCTCATCCGTTCCTGCATCCCCCCTCCTCCTCCTCTTCCTCTTCATCTTCCTCGCGTCACATTCCTCATCCTCCTCTTCCTCCTTCTCTTCTCCCCCCCCCCCCTCCTCCACCTCCTATTCCTCTCTTCCTCCTCCTCCTCCGAGCATGGCTCACGATGCCCTCAAAGAGGCCGCAAGAAAGCATCCGATCGTGTCTGGATGGCCTGGTGGGGTTACGCGATGCGTGACAATGCAAGCACTGCTCCGGGAAGATGCACATCATATCAGAGTGAGGGAGGTCAAGCGGTCATTCACTGTCCCTGGGCGCGTGGCTGAAGTGTGGTTTCATGGTGAAGATTGATGTTAGTGTTGCGTTGTTGTTATGACGTTGTTGGCGTTGATGCTGTTATAATTGTTGGTGGTGTTGCTATTATTAGTGCTGTTGCTGTTGTTGTTAACTGAATTCTCACTTCGGAAGAATAATTGTGGTCGATTCCCCACCCTCGCGTGGCCAGTGTATGTCTTCAAATAAATTGCTCCACCCAACTCTCGCACTCTTTTTGCAGAAGAGCAAATGAAGTGTCACCTAACTGTGTCGATGGCCCCCGGCTTACAACAACAAGACAAACGGCTCCCGCCTGATACGCCCTCACAACGTATTCAAAAATCGCGCCCTCGCGCGGGACTATCTCACAATGTACGTAAGAATCGCCCTCTCGCGTGGGACTTCCTCGCAATTGCTTCAGAAGCCGCGCCCTCAATACTCTGGAATCTCGTTTTGGCCTTTCTCGTGATTTACTTGGGAATCGCGCTATCGCTCACGACTTCCTCGCGATTCACGCAGAACTCACGCTTCTGCAACCTGCCTGCTCGACCTGGCTGCCTGGGCCCGCCTTCCCAACACGCCCGCCCGGGTCTACCCGCCCGATCTGCCCGTCAGGTTCTGACACATGGTTTCTGCTCCTAGCCCCCCCCTGCCACTCTCTCCCTCGTGCTCCGTCCTCCTTCCTCTCCATTGTCGATTCTTTCCGTCTTTCCCCTCTTCCCATGCCGCAGGGGCTGCACGAAATGCACGTTGAAGGTAAGAAAGATATACCCCTAGGGAGTTGTGATCCAAGACGAAGTGGGCGTGTATCAAGGGTTTGGGATCTACGTGTTGAATGGCACGCGAGCAGATAAGAGCGAACAATCCTAAAATGATTGTTGGTGGTGGTGTTGCTCTTGCTGTTGCTGTTGCTGTTGCTGTGGGTGTGGTTGTTGTTGTTGTTGTTGTTGTTGTTGTTGTTGTTGTTGTTGTTGTTGTTGTTGTTGTTGTTGTTGTTGTCATCGTCCTCACCCGTGACCTGCCTGCGACCCACGCCGCAACCCGCCCCGCGACCCACCAGGCGACCCACCCGGCGACTACCTTGCGACGCACCCTCGACCCACCCAGACTGCTTTGATTGAGAAATGCGCGCCTGCGGCGGGCTCGCTGCACAATCTGTCAAAACGCGGCGCCTGCGGCGTGCTTCCTGAGAACGCTGACGACCCCGCCGCAACTGCGGGGTGCCACGTGACATCTCTTTTTGGGCGCCGGAGGCCGGCCAGCTCCTCCTCCTCCTCCTCCTCCTCCTCCTCCTCCTCCTCCTCCTCCTCCTCGCAGCTTGCCTAGGGATGGCTCGTGGCGCAAATTATGTGGGGGGAAACGCTGGGCGCCAGATGGGGGCTTCGCTCTCTTGCCTCTACTCCGGGTGATACAGTGCGGGCCTCGTCGCAAGGGATCTGAAGCGATGCCAGCTGATCAAAATTTGGTTGGGCGGATTCCTTTGAGACCCTGAGGAGCATACGTACCAGGAAACACCGGGCCCCGTCCTAGTCCAAAGCGCCGGTCAATCCAAAACGCACCCGACTGTAACTCCTTCACCTCGTCACCCCTGGTCTACCGCAGCTTGGCTCGAGGCCATGCGACTCCCGACGGCCGCGAGTGGCGCTGCAGCATTCTCGGGCGAGGGATCGAAGCCAAAGTAAGCCAAAGTCCCACCATGCCCCTAGGCAGGGGGTTTAACGGATCAGCTCTTCCAAAGAGACTGCGTTCCTCTTCCATGTAGGGGAGAGATACCCTTCCCTCCACACTCCCTTGGTTTCTGGAATGGGGAGGTGCGCGAGGTATCGGAGGGTCGGCCAAAAAGGTGCAGGATGGTCCCTCCATGAAAGTCAAGATGGCCTCCTGCACGCCTGCAGGAGGACCCGAAGACCACCACTGGACAGCTCGAGATGGCCACAGAGCCCTCCAAGCACGCCCCACGAGAACATTTGAGGCCTCTCTTGCAGGGCGCCCCAGAGAGCCCCCGGCCGCCGCGGCCAGATTCTGGCCAGAACGCACCCTGGGAGATCCAGACATCCGACGCCGTGCTTTGTCTCGCATATACCCCTGGATGCCCCGACCCCTCCCCCGAGATCGGCTCTGCGTCCCCGGTTGGTAAGCAGTCGAGGGCCCAAAAGGGCCCCGGGAGGACCCTTGGAGGCCGAAACCTGTGGAAGACCTCTTCCGCCGTGAGTGTTTCCATGGCGAGAGGAGGCACTGGCAGGGGTCCTTGTGGCCGGCGACCCACTTCTTCAGCGGGACGGCGGCGCCGTTGATGTCGCCCACGGCCGAGGCACCGCCGCCGCCGCCGCCCAGCTTGGGGAAGAAGTCCGCCGACCCCCGCTCGCAGAGAGGGCAAGAAAGACGTGCGAGACCTTCGGCCGTGCCCCTCCTCCTGGCCGCCCCCCTTTCTGAGGTCGAACGGGAATCCCGTCTGAGGTTCTGGGGGCGGGCGAGCTCGTCGACGCACCTGCCGGGCCCTCGGAGCCCTCCAGGCCCACCCTCCCTGCGCTCGCCAAGCTGCCCCAGATGCCTCCTGAGACGGCTCCAGCCCGGCGCCGACACGCTGGAGAGCCCTCAAGAGCACCCAAGGTGGCCTCAAAATCGCCCAGGACGCCCCCCGACCCCTCCCCCCAAAAGGCCCCGAGAGGATCCCCTAAGAGACATGTGGTTTACCATGGGTAGTCGAATGGTTGTCGCGATCTTGCCATCTCGACCTTCTGAAACTCTAGGAGGGCCCAGAGACGCCCCAGGAGGGCGATCAGGCGGCCAAAAGGCCCCCAAGACGACCCGCAAAAATGCCTTCGAGGCGGCGCCGAGATGAGCCCGAGGAAGTCCCAAGAGGGGCACTCGCAGGGACCCCGAGAGCCCTCCCCCACAAGGTGGCCCCCAGGATCCCCAACATGCCCCTACGGGGCACCCCAGAGGCCCCCCGAGAAGCGCCCAGAGGGCCCCCCCAAAGCCCCCAGGAGCACTGCAAAGGGTCAAGAGAGGCCGAGGCCGCCCGCCTGGGCCTCCAAGAGGTACGTAACCCAAGAAGGCGCGCAACAGACGTGGAGGCCTCCTTCTCCTGCTCCTCCTCCTCCTCTTCCTCCTCCTCCTCCTCCTCCTCCTCCTCCTCCCCACTCCTTCTCCTCCTCTTCCGTCTCCTCCTCCTCCTCCTCCTCCTCCTCCTCCTCCTCCTCCTCCTCCTCCTCCTCCTCCTCGTCTTTTTTCTCCTCCTCCTCCTCCTCCTCCTCCGAGTCGGCAACAAGCAAAGGCAGGAAGCACAGCGGGACGCGGCAACAAGAACGACGCATACTGAAGAGGAAGCCGCACATCTCCCTCCTCTGGGAGGCCGGCGGAATGGCGTAGCGCCGCTCGAGTAGAACGCGTAGCCTCCGAGGACCACCAGCGCCGGCACGGCGCAGACGGCCACGACGATGAGGTTCATCAGCACGCGCCTGGGGAGGCAGAGAGACACTTGGGCGTGGCTTCATGGGGGGGTCATAAATGGGGGGGTCAGAAACGCTCTCCTTTTGTGCCTCTTTCGGGCCCCTCCGGAGCCGCGGGGGGCTCGTTCAGGTACCGTTTGGGTACCTTTTCGGACCACCCTCGCCACCCCCCCATCTACGACCCCCCCATTGCGCAACGCCCAAGACACCGATGCCGCGACTCCCCGGACCTCCCCCGGCTCGTGGAAAGCGGATCGCGGCGGGATCTGCTGCTGGCCGCGTTCGGCCTCCGGGGGCCCCTTCCGGGGCCCCGAGACCAGCAGAGACATGGGCTCGGCATGCAAAACGGAGCCGTAAGGCCCTCCGGGGGCCCACGCCACGCAAGGACCACGACGTCGGAGGCCTGGGCATCCCAGGGCTCCGAGGTGCCCCTGGCCGCGGCGGCCAGGAAGGGGGAGCAGACGGGAGGGGGGGCAGGGGCATCGGCAAGTCTCTCCCTGCTCCGAGCTGGGGAGAACAGAAAGGCGCCTCCTGGGGCGCGTTCCGGCCAGAATGCCGAGGCGAATCCGGCCGTGGCGACGAGGGCCATCCAGGAGGCCCAATTACCTGCACCAGCAAAGCGCCCTGATAGCAGCGCAAAGGTGAAGGGGCGGGCTGAGGAGTAGGAGGTCTGCGAGTGAAGACGTGCATTCGCAGGTACCCCTAAGGACTTCTAAGACTTGCACGAAGTCCGGTAGGGTGCCCATTCTCCCGTCAGAGCTCTGGCACCACGAGGGGCACACGGTGACATGGGCACCGTGGTGTAGCATCTTCCAAGGGATCGTGGCCGCCCAGACCAAAACTGCAGCCAGCACTGAGGCGATAGCACGATCCCGGCGTGCATCGTCGGGAGGCTGCAAGCGAAACAGCCGCCGGACTGCCGCTGGACCGCTGCCAGACCGGGCAGCCTCGGGCTCCGTGTCCCCGCTGCTGGGGCCGCCCCTGCGGTCCCTTCTCACCTCGGCCAGGCCCCTCTCCAGCGAAACGCCGTCAGGGACGAACGGTGAAGACGAGGGAAGGGGTCATATAGCGGCACCGTCCCTTCCTCCTCCTCCTCCTCCTCCTCCTCCTCCTCCTCCTCCTCCTCCTCCTCCTCCTCCTCCTCCTCCTCCTCTGCCTCCCTCCCTCATCCGAGCGCCTCTGCATGTCGGGCACGAAGCCCGTGTACTCGCCCGACCCGGACTGCAGCACCACCGCCGACTGCGCGCGCCCCACGGCGAGGCCGGCGCGGGGGCCGGGGGCGGCCACGAAGGCGTGCGAGGCCGCCCACACGCCTGCGAGCAAGGGGGATCCTTCCTGCCCGAGGCGTGTCTCCACCCCTGAGGTCGGCACCGCTTGGTCTCGACGCTGATCTCGGAGAGTCCCTCGGGTGCGGCTTCCCCGCAGGCGCCCCTCGCCAGCTTGCTGGCCTGGGCGTGCCGATCTCAGGGGCTGGGGCAAGCGCTCGAGGCTGGCGAAGGTGGAGGTCTTAGGGGCGGTCGAGGGCGGGTCCCAGCGGCAGCGGTACGGTGGCATCACCTGCATCGGAACTCTCGTGCCACAGCGACCGTGCGCAAATGCCGGGGCCCCCTGCCTGTGCGGGGGCCAGCCCCAGGGAAAGGAGAAGGGCGAGGAAGGCAGAGAAGGGAGGAGGATGGAAGGCGAGGGAGGGAGGAAGCACGAAGAAGCAGGGAGGCAGGAAGAGGGGGAGAAGTAACGTGCGGAGCAGGAGGAGGAGGAGGACCCCTCTTGCGCGCCCTCGTCAGTAGCCAGCTTGGCTCAGACGGGCCCCGAGAGGAACGGAACGCCAGCCCGCACGCTGGCAGAAGCTGCATCGGCGCGCTCTCGTCGTCCGGCCCCGCTGTCCTGACCCGACCGGCCGTGGAAAGGAGAGGCGCCCGCGCGCCTGCGAGGAGGGCCAGCGCCGCGAACGCCGCCGCGCGGCTGTCGCGGACCATGGCTGCCGCCGCTCGGGCAGTGGGCGGGGGGGGCGCCGGGGGCGAAGCGGCGTGCGGCACCGGCTGCCGGCTCGAACCCGGGGAGGCTGCTGCGAGGACCCGCGGGCCTGGGGGTCGTGAAAGACATGCCTTTCCAGACCATCCCCTGCGGGCGGCAGGGAGGTTGGCGGGTGGAGAGTTTCTGGACGGGCGGCCTGCGTTCGCAAACCACGGGCCACCATGAGACGACCACGGGACAACCATCGGGACAACAGTCGGCGGAACCACCGCGGGACAGCTATCAGGAGAACCATCGGGACAGCCATCGAGCAACCATCGGGACAGCCATCGGGACAGCCTTCGGGACAGCCTTCGGGACCACCAGACATCACGGGACAACCACGACCAACTGCAGGACCCCTGCGCACGCCCCGGCGGGCGGGGAAGCGACTAGTTTCGGCGTGACCTGGGCCTAGCTACTGCAGGCACTCGCGCAGCTTCGCTTCGCCCGCACGCGTGTCACGCACGACAAGTTCTAGTCCTCTTTATCGCCTCCTCCCTCCCTCCTCCCTCCCTCCCTCGCTCCCTCCCTCTTCCCGAAACGAAATCAGTATCGATTCCCCCGTCGAGGGGCTCCGTTTCACTTTGGTCCCACGCCCCCCAAACCTCCGGCGATCGGCGGCCTTGATAAAGTTTCGGGCCCTGCGGGCGTCACGGATCAATGCGGCTCGAGAGATTGGACATACGTGGAAACAGGAATCGAGCACTCTGAGCATGCATGGTGTACTGCACCTTTCAGGAGGCAGGTCCCCAAACGATTCACAAAACAGCTTGTCAGCGAGCGTTGTTTACTGTTCTGACGCCCAGAGAGGGGTGCCAGGCCTCCGAAATCACTGGCCTACTGTGGCCACCCCATCGTGACCCCCCATCGTGAACTGTGTCAAGCTGTCCAGGATATTCTGCCATCAAGGCGTCATTCGAGCTCCACGCAAGAAGCCTGCCATGAAAGCGCCAGGAATGGCTTGGACAATAAGCAATGATACATCAGAAATGATTCAGGGAATCACTGCCACGTCCGTGTTTCCATACGTTGAGCAGCACGTTGAACATGTCTGGGCGAACGACGAAAGCGTGGGACCTGCGCCATCCTCACCCGCGACCCTACTCGATGATCGCTGTTGGCCCCGAGGCATCCTGTGGCGCGAAATCGCAACTGTGCTGCAATCGACGACAACATCACCCACTCTCTCCTGGACCGCTCTGCTCTCCCCTCACCCGTGATCCTCCCTTTCCGCCCTCTACCCTTCCCGCCTTGTCACTCCCCTCCTCTCCCCCCCCTCTCCGTCCGCTCCCCTCCCATGCATCCCCCAAAGCAGGAGTGCCTGACTCCATGAGGTTCCACGGAAGTGGCACCGCATGCGGCGAGGGCGTCTTGGTGCAGGTGTCCTCTGGAGAGCTGCCCGCAGAGCCTTCTTGATCAACCACTTGGCCTTCGCAGCAGCGCCCCTATCTCCCTGGAGACGTCTGGGATGGCGAGGAGAAGATAAACTGACGTTTCCAACACCGTGTTGCCGTTTTCGCAGTCCTATGGGAAGGGTCCAGACTTCAAAACGGCGGTGCGAATGCCCCGATTGGAGTTTTGTGGGCGCAGCGGAAGGGATTGGAGGAGGGAGATGAGCTGCCTTAGGGGGGAAAGCTTAGAGCGATGGCAACCCTTTGGCCCACGAAGCGAGGCAATAACAACCCATGTGACACGCAGGCAAATACAGAAAGGCAATGTGCAATTACACACAGGCAGCCCCAGCAGCTGCGAAACCAAAATGGAAAGGCCGCGCGCTGGGGGTTGGCGAAAGCAATAGATGAGGACATGGGTGCCCGACCTCTTGCCTTGTGCTCCGCTCTCTGTGTTTCTCTAAGCCGCTTGCAAGGGTCATGCACACCTTTTCTGCGAAACCAGTGCGTGCGCTGCCGGATCCGAAATCGGTCGGACGACGTTGCGACCCGTTGTCTCCAATCGTCTCCAAATGTCTTCCACGTGTCTCCCATTATCTCACGCTGTCTAACGTTGCCTCCGGTTGTCTCCCAGTGTCTCCCATTGCCTCCTGCTGTCTCCCAGTGCCTCCCGTTGCCTCTCACGAGCTATCCATATCTGCATCCGTATCCCTATTCCTATGTCTATCCCTATCCCAAACACTCTGTCTCTCTTCTTACCCCTACCCCAATTATTTTAATTCCTAGGTGTTCCTAGCATATATCCCATACACCATCCTGATCCTAATCCTGATATCTCTATCCCAATAACCCTACACATGTACTGCTAGCCCTACAGAACTGCTCTCTATCAATGAACACCCCCTTCCCCAGACGACCGGCAACCAAGCCGTAAACGTGACCCCCCCCCGCCAACCATCCCTGTCAAGACACAATTCGAAATACAGTGCGCTTCCAAATCTGGAGCATGCGCGGGCGCCCCGCGACCACTCTGACTTGGTAATTGACAGGGACGGCGGGAGTGCTGGCACATTACCTGCTCTGCGTAGAAACAAACCGAAGTACAGTTTGCGGCAAAATGTAGGGCCACGCCCGGGGGCCCCGCGAGCACGTTGGACTGCTGTGTGACAGGGGCGGCGGGGGTGCCCACAGCTGGCCTGCTGTGCGCAGGGCCACCACCCCCATCAGAACAACGATGCAATCTGCACTTCGCTGCTGAATCTGGCTCCTGCGCGGGAGCCCCGCGATCACCTTGCATTGGGTTTTTGACAAGGACGGCAGGGGTGCCGGCACGCTGCCGGCTGTGTGCAGGCCCACCAGACTCCGCGCGTGCGCCGAACGTGGCGCACCTGACGCGGCTGGAGCATGCGGCACACCTGGCGCACGGGGGGCAGGTGGCACCGCTGGCGTACCAGGCGTGTCTGGCACGCTTGGGCCTCAGCCGCGCCTGGCACGCGTGGCGCACCTCGCCCCAGCGTCGCGCACCTGGGGTCTGTGTTGCTTCCCAGTATCTCCCATCCAAGGCTGACCGCTGAATATGAGGAGACTCGGGTGATAGTTATGTGTTGGGAGGGCGGGTGGGAGTGACCCCAGCAGTTTGGATCTCGGAGAGATGTCTTCATCCCCATCCCTACCCCTCCACCTATCCCGATCCCCCCATCGTGTCCCCAATTCGTGGCCCCCCCATCGCGGCATCCATCGTAACTGTGTAAAGCTATGTATGGTCTTCTGCCGCAAGGGCGCCATATGTGCGTGGCAAGGCTCATACGAGCACATGTGCAATATGTGAATGCGTTGTGTAATGTGTGTGCTATGTGTAATATGTGTTATGTGTGTGTGGTGTGTGGTGTGTGTGTTGTATGTGCTATGTGTGAGTCATGTGTGGTTTGCATGTGTTATGCGTCTTATGTGTGTGTGGGTGTGTTAGGTGTGTTGTGTGTGTGCGTGCGTGCGTGCGTGTGTGTGTGTGTGTGGGTGTGGGTGTGGGTGTGGGTGTGCGTGTGCGTGTGTGTGTGAGTGAGTGAGTGTGTGTGTGTGTGCGTGTGCGTGTGCGTGTGTGTGTGTGTGTGTGTGAGTGAGTGTGAGTGTGAGTGTGAGTGTGTGTGTGCGTGCGTGCGTGCGTGCGTGCGTGTGTGCATGTGTGTGGTGTGGGTGCGTTTGCTTTGTATGTTCTGTACGTTGTACGTGGGGGCTTCTTGTGGGAGGATGTCTCAGGCGAAACTGCCTTTTTTCTAGGAACCGTGTGCACAAGGGCTTGATTTTGGGAGGATGTCGCAGGCGAAATTGCACCGTTCGAAGAATAGGGGTCAAGGTCAATGAACTCAACTCTATTGCGCAAGGTCCGTGAAGTTCATTGTGCATTAAAATATATCAACATGATTGAAAGATCCTGGTGCTTGTACCATGACGTCACGATCTGCGTGAGAGATGCCTCCGATGTTCAAAACGTTGAGGGCGTCCCGAACAAAACGGCCAGAACAACCGCGAACGGGACCAAGGAATCACCTCTGTGCTCGATTCCCTTGGAGAGCTGCGTATGCCAACATCTACATGTGTGTGTAAATTTATATGTGCATATATGTATATATATACTCATGCTTGTATATCGTTTGTACATTGCATGTATATATATATAGATATATATATATATATATATATATATATATATATATTATACACATGTGTGTTGTGTGTGCGCCTGGGACTGAGCTCTCGACGTCGGCGCTGTCCGCAACGGCGAAAACGGGGACAAGACGGATTGAGGCCTCTCAGGGGCCCAGGATCTGGCCGACATCGGCGCGCCCCGCTGGAGCGCCAACCGAGGCTGTCCAACTTGTTTGCAATCGATTGAAATTTCGGCCAGCGCCTATATGTATATATATATATATATATGTAGTATGTGTACGTCTGGGTGTGTATGTAGATACACGTCTATCTATATATGTATGTTTGTATATGCACATATGCATTGATTATCTGACCGTGCCGTACTAATCCTGGGGGCCCAAGAGGCTTGCAGGTGCTTGTCGGAAGCAGCTTTGACCCCTCTTGAGGGCTATTTTAACGTTTCTTGAAGCCATTTCTGGGCCTCTTGGAGAGCGGGGGCGTGTTGGGGGCCTCTGTGGGGGTTCTTGGTGCCTCTCGAGGGCCCGTTTTGGGGCCCCCTTGGGCCGTCTTGGGCGCATCTTGGCCCGTCTTGGGGCCCTCTTGGGACGTCGTGGGGGCCTCTTGAGTGCCTCGTGTGCTGACTTGGGGCGATCTGGGGAGCGTCTTGGGCCGTCTTGGTGCGACGGAAGGCGAGAAATGGTTGATGCTGAACATGTACGTTTTATGGAAAGGAATTTGGCGACTTTGGCCTCTTGGGGCTCGCTTGGTAGGCGTCTTGGGATGTCTTGGGGCGAAAAGGAAGCCTCTGGGACTGTCTTGGGGCCATCGCGGGCGTCTTGTAGCCCTCTTGGCCCAGCTTGGGGCTCTCTGGAAGCCATCAGGAGCCGTCTCGGGCCCTCCAAGCGAGCTCGGGACCCAGCGGCCCCCAGCGGGACGCATGTCTAGCCGGATCAGTCTTCTATGTCTATAGGTACTCATTGTATTGGTACAACTATATATATATATATATGTATATATGTATTTATAATATATAAACACATACAGATATGTGTGTACATACATTATAGACATACACATGCGTATATCAGAGTGAGGGGGCCGAACGGTCTTTCAATTTCCCTGGGTGCGTGGCTTAAGTGCGGATCCGTGGTGAGGATTCTGCTTGTTGCGTTGTTGTTGTTGCTGTTGTTGTTGTTGCTGTTTGTTGTCGTGGTCCCCCCCGCGACCCTGCCCGCGTGCCACCCGCGACTCACCCCGCGACCCACCCGCGACCCACCCAACGACCCGCACGCGACCCACCCGCGACCCACCCGGGACCCACCCGCGACCCACCCGCGACCTGGCCCGCGACCCACCCGCGACCCACCGTCGACCCACCCGCGACCCACCTGCGACCCAACCCGCGACCCACCTACATTGTTTTAACAAAAAATCGGCGCCTGCGGCGGGCTCGTTGTATAGCTTGAAAAAGTTTGCGCCTGCGGCAGGCTTCTTCAGAGCCTCGTAGACTGCAGACGTCCCCGCCGCCCACTCACTCTTATCCGCAACTGTGGGGTGCTACGTACAATGGCCTTCGGGCCATCACGTCACCGATCCTGGGTCGAATGAAGCGTATTGGATGTTCGTTGGGATCTCGCGGGAGGCCTCTCGGGGGCCTCTTCAAGGCAATTTGGAGGCCTCTTGGCGGCCGTTCTGGGGCCTCTCGGGGCATCATCTTAGGGGGCCTGTTGGGGCTTCTTGGGGACCTCTGGGAGACCTCTTGGGGACTCCTGGGCGCCTCTTGGGGCCTCCTGGGGGCGCCTTGCGCCGGAAGGTCAACTGTTCTGCTCGTGTTCCCTCTCTTGGGCCCCCTGTGGGGCCGTCTTGGGGCCAGCTTGGACCGTCTTGGACGCGTCCTGGGCCGTCTTGAGGCGCTCCTGGGCCGTCTTGGGGCCCTCTTGGAGGCCTCTTTGGCTGTTTTGGGGTGGTCTTGTGGGCCTCTTGGGTCGTGTGTTGGAGCGTCGGGAAGCCGGAAAGGCAATGTTTTGTGCCCTCTTGGGCCCATCTTGCGCCTTCAAAACATGAAGGAAATCAGTGATTTCTGCTTGGGAGGCCTCTTGGGGCACTCTGGAAGGCCCCTTGGAAGCCTCTTGGGGCGCATTGAAATCTCCTGGGCCATCTTGAGGCCACCTTGGGCGTGTTGGAACGATCTTTCAGCGACTCGGGGCCCTCTTGGATCGTCTTGGCGGCCTGTTGGAGCTCTCTTGGCCCGTCTTGGGGCCCTCTTGGTTCCCAACAAGTCACGCGAGAAAATGCGGGGGAGCCCGGGGGAGCCGCGGACCCCCCCGAGAGAGTTGAGAATTTGGGCTCCAGGCCCCTACGAGACATTCCAGGAATAAGGACTGAGACCCCAAAGATTGGGCAAAGGACCTGAGGACACGCCCACTCCGTGCCTAGAGGCACGATGGCGGATACACAAATGTCACCGCGCCGCTTGTTCTAAACGCGTCCAAGCAAACAAAAACCGGCACCACGGCAAACCCACGGCAAACTCTGCCCGAGACGTGAGGCCGCGCGTCGGGACAAACGGCACGGCGACTCATGCGTATGTTTCGGTATATGTATGCGTATGCATGTATGTGTAGGCGTATGTACATGCATGTGTATATGTGTATGCGGGTAGGTAGATGTACACGTAGACCTATGGGTATATGTATGTTCATCGTATATTTGCATGTTCATGAAGATGTACAAGTATGCGAGCAATTGTGCATAATGTGTGCATTCATAAGTGTATGTACGTTTGTGTGTAAAAGTGTTTGTGCATGCGCATGTATAGATATAGGTTTATGTGTACATGTGTAGGGACATATGCATGTATGTGTGTATATGTATGTATGGGTGTTTGCATGTATGTCTGGGAATATGTGTGTACGTATGCATATATGTGTGCATCATTGCATGCATGACTGTACGTACGTATGCATGCATGTATGTCGTAGGTCGGTAGATCGATAGACAGGTAGGCATGCGAATGTGTAGGTATGTAGGTATACAGGTAAGCATGTACGCATATAGTATGTATGTGTGTACCCATGTATGCATGTGCGCATGCATGCTTTTATGTACAGATGCATGTATGCAGGAGTTTGGGCATGTGTGTACGTACGTGCGTGTGTACGCATGCAGTATGTATGCATGTATGTAAGTATGTGTACATGCATACATGTACGTACGTGCGTGTGTACTTACGAACGTGCGTATGCATGCAGTTATGTATGCATGTATGTATGTCTGTATGCATGCATGTATGTATGCGTGAATGTATGTATATCTGTGTGCTAGTTTTGCCACTCTCGACCGCCAACGGGTGCTCAAGCACTGGACGCGTGTGATTTTGCGCCCACGCCGCGCGCTCGCGAGCCTCGCGCAAGGCCCTTCGCCCGCGGGAGGCTCGGGCCCTGCCGGGCGTGCGAGCACCCAGGGTCAGAGAGGACGGAGGACGGAGGAGATCAGCATGGAGCAGGAGGAGCATGGAGGGAGGAGGACGAGGAGGAGGAGGGGGGAGGAGGAGGGCGGAGGAGGAGGGCGGAGGGAGGACCAGGAGGGAGGGACATGGAGCATGGGTTGGCAGGGGTCCGAAGACCCAGGTCCCGGAAAGGAGGCGGTGAAACACAAGAGAGAAAAGAAGGGCATCAGCCGCCATCGCGGTGCAGCGCGCACCGAGCGGCCCCGCCCTCTGATACAGAGCGGAGCATGAGCCCACAAAGCGCGGCCAGCAGAGGCAAGAAGTCCTTCTTGCCCAACTTCCCGGCCCTCGTGAGCGTGAGAACCAGCAGCCAGGCACCTACAGCAACGAGCACTGGTGTTGCCGAGGAGGACGGAGGAGGCGAACGAGGAGGAGCCCTGAGATCCGACGTCGCGAACAAATAAAAAAGACATCGCGAACATCAGGACTGGATCCAAAAGTGCAACGCCCAGATCTCAAGAGGGAGGACAGCGGGAGAGAGTTTGTAGACAAGCGCGTTCCACGACTCGCAGGAGTAACCGCCGGCACATGGCATGGACCCGCAGGGGGGGAATCACCCTCCGTTGCACCGAGGCGAACCTGTGGTGCTCGGACGTTCGCGAGCAGGCACTCTGCGAGCCGTGGAGCGCACTCGGCAAGCTCAGGCCAGCGGCCGATGGCCTCGCGGCATGAGGCAGCTCTTCTGCCACGCCGGGCCGGCGGCGGCTGCCCCGCACGGGGCCTCGCGAGGCCCTCGCGCCGCGCGCGGCCGGCTTCAGGCCGGGGCCGCGCCGCCGCTCGGCGGTCGAGCGGCCGCTCGCACGGCGGCCGAGCCCAGGAACGCGTCGAGGTGGCCCGCGAACGCGTCCTTCGCGAAATCGGAGGACAAGGGGGATACCCTGAGATCCTGGCGTTGCCATTTGTTCGCAACGGGCGCTGTCTCGCACAGTCTCGGGCCCCAGGGCCCTCACGGGTCGACCCGGCTCGAGAAACGACGCAGGAAGTCGGGGTCTGAATGGGGATCTGGTCGTGACTTCTCACGATGCTTCAGTGCCTCGAGCCGTCGGATCTCAGGGTGCCCAGACACGCTCGCGCCAAAAGGAATCACGAGGGGAGGAAAAACTGGTCCCAGGGAACGGGTCGGCACTTCAAGGGACCCCATATTAGAAAAAGACAGGACGTTGCATGTCGGGGTAGAAAGGGGGAGATAACTGGTGAGATTGACACCCAGGAAACAATACAGCACAAACTTTGCATTGTGTTGCATTGCGCGGTGCCCGCCATTCTGGGCCCTCCAGTGCCAATGGCAGTGGAGGTCGCCCCACAGGGGAATGTGAATACCGCTCGCTCCATGGCGAAGCAAGGGCCCGGGGAAGCGTGCTGCAAGGCCGAGTGCGGAGTCGAAGTCGCACGCCACTTCCCAAAAGCTGGGCCCCGGGCATTCGCGGCATCCGCCAAGTGCGCAGGCGCCCGGTCGACGGCCGCGAAAGGTCCCCAACAAAAGTTTACCGTTGTAGAAACGACAAGGTCAAATAATCACACCCCGCGGGAATCAGAAAAATCAGAGTGAGGTGGCCGAACGGTCATTCATTGTCCTTGGGTGCGTGGCTGAATAGGAAACTCGTGGTGAAAATTCTGATTGTTGCGTTGTAATTGTTGTTGGTGGTGTTGTTGTTCGTGTTGCTGTGATTAGGGTCGCGGGTGAGACGACGACGACAACAAACAAACAAACAAACAAACAAACAAACAAACAAACAAACAAGCAAGCAAACAAACAAACAAACAAACAAACAACAACAACAAGAACAACAACAACGGAACAACGCAACAAGCAGAATCCTCACCACGGGCTCCCACTTCAGCCACACACCCAGGGACAATGAATGACCATTCGGCCCCCTCACTCTGAATTATAGGCTCTTAGTTATCAGGGTGATGGTAAGGGTTAGGGTGAGAGTTAGGGTTAAGGGTTCGGGGTTAGGGATTAAGATTAGGGTTAGGGGGTTAGGGCTAGAAGGGAAGGGTCCAGAGCTACCAGGGTTCCGGAGTAGGGGGGGGTCTGACCCCCCCACCCTGAAAGAGGAGGAGGGGTGGTGGTCCGAATTTCAAATTCAAAGGGGGGGAGGGGGAGGGGTTCGAACCCCCCCTCCCTTTTGTGAAGGGGGAGGGATGCCGACGACGGATCGGGAAGAGGGGGGGGTCTCCGCGGACGACGGACCGGGGAAAGGGGGGGAGGGGAGGGGGCTGAACCGGAAATGGGAGAAAGTACAACCAACTAGACGAAATGCCAACCACTTTGGTATCTATGACATTCCAGACACCGAAGATAGATAGAGGCTTCTCGTCTTGAGAAGCTTATGGGAAGCTTATGGGAAGCGAACGACAAGCTTATGAGAAGCCTCTGGGAAGCTGATGAGAGGCGTCTGGGAAACGTCTGAGAATCTTCGCGGAAACTTCGAAAGTGCTTCTCGGAAGCTTCTGTGACGCTTCTGGGAGGCTTCTTAACGGATCTGGATAAGTTTATGAGAATATTCTGAGAGGCTTCCGGGAGGCTGTTGAGAGGCTTCTGAGAAGCTTCGGAGGAGCGTCTGAGAAGCTTCTCGGAAGCTCTTGTTGATTTTGCGATTTACTAGGGGGGTCGGGGAAAAATCATATCCAGCTGCCTGCGGCAAGTCCCGCCACCGTGCCTGGGTTGCGGGTTAGAGTCTTCAGGGATGCTCCTTGAGGTCTCTTCGGAGCGCTCTCGGGGGTCTCTGAAGGGCAGTTAGGGGGCCCCTTGGAAGCCTTTTGGGGGGTTCCTGGGGCCTCCTGGGGCCTTCTGGAAACTTTCTGGGGGCTTCTTGGGCGCCCCTCTGGGCTTCCTGGGGGCCTCTCGGGGCCGAGGGCTTGAAATGTCCCTTCGGGCCCCCCGTTTGGGCCCCCTCCTGGAGACGTCTTGGGGGCCATTTGGCCGTCTTGGAGACCTCTTGGACCGCTTGGGGGCCCTCTTGGGCCGTTTGGGGGACCTCTTGGAGGCCTCTTGGGGGCAGTCTTGGGGCGGTATTGGGGGCTTCTTGAGTCGTCTTGGAGGGTCGGGAAGCCGAAAAGGCGAGAACGCCCAAATCCTTCAACAAAAACTGATGAGTCCCCCTTATCCCTCCTACCCCGCTGATCCTTCCGACCTTTTAGTGTGTCCCTTAGTCCTCCTATCCCTCTTCTCCCTCCCTCCCTATTATCGGTCTGCAGCCTCCCATCACTCTTATCACTCTTATCCCCCCTGGCCCACACATGATACGTCAGAGGTGGCTTCAAACTATGTGTCATTGGTCGTATCTCGCGTTGCATGCTAGTTGGCACCATGCCTCGCGACATATCAGATGCTACCGTACAGGTAATGCGTATGTCACAATGCAGGTGGTACCCTGTGATACATCACATGATGTAACACGGTGCACATCGTAGGTGCTATCAGCTGAGGCAACACAAGTTTCATATAATGACATCTCACACATGGTATCACATGACACGTCATATGGTGTGACCTGTGATGCACCATGGGAAATCTCATATGATTGCCCGTATGCCGTAACAGTTGTTACATCATAAGTAATGCACTATGACACAGTGTAGGTAATCTCCCATCACGCTGCATCGACAATACCATATGGTACGCCAGATGATACCATGTGATACGTGATGGGCAGTATCGTCGTACGAGCCATTATATTCAGTAGCATGTGACACGCCATAGGTAGTATCACATGGCACATTATGAATCGCAACATCTGACTCAACATACGCGTGCCCTTGTGCTGCGTCATACGTGGCATTTTCTGACAAGAAACAAGTCGTAGCATCTGGCACGCCCAAAACAATGCCATCTGATAGGTCATAGGGTGCACCATACAACACGGCACCACCGCACAGATCGCACACACCGCACACGCAACACACACCAAACACCGCACACTCCCCACGTACCGCACACGCAGCACACGCAGCACACACACACACACACACTGCACACACCGCACACACACACACACACACACACACACACACACACACACACACACACACACACACCGCACACACACACCGCACATACCACTCAGGCTGCACACACAACCATCCATATCCACATCGTGAGGTCCACATCACCGCAAGGCGTTTTGGGTGTAATCCCACCTGGGGCAGCCAGGTTGCCGACCACTTGGTTTTTGGGAATATATGATCACGGCTTCACAAGTCAAATCCTATTGTGAGGTTATTCGTGCAATTAAAAGAAACGGTTGGAATTATTTCCGGTTTGTCGTTCTCGCTGGTGGAGTTGCCCTCAGTTGGTTGGGATTACGCCCAGTCGGTTTGGATTACCACCGCATGCTGGCCGCCCCTCCCTATTGGGGGCCTCCAGAGCACTCCCTCTAGGGGCCAGATGTTTATCCATATACAATGTGCCTGAGGAGGCGTCTGGGGAAGGGACCCCGGCACTCCAAGATGCAGTGGACATGGATATACGCCTCCCCCGCAGAGGGGGTCTGGGTTCGTCTGGCCCGAGTCCTTGTTTCTTTTTGCACCGCAAACGTCTACATGTTTCGGTGCTGGCCTGCAGCCTGGAGCTTGCGGGCGTGCCGTTCGCATCACGAGCCAAAACGGAAAAGGAACGCGAAGCAGATCCGCAACCCCAGTCGAAAGGGGTGGCTGCCGCTGCTGCACTATATGCAGCACTGTACCGCCCAGACCGAAGCAGCGACCCAAAAGCAGTGTCCGGCCCGAGTCCTTGTCCATGACCCCGTCCTTGTCCTGGGGAAACCACAAGGTAATACCGCTACTCCCCGGACCTCTCTCGGGGTGCGCTCCGACCAGAACCCCAAGGCGAGTCCAGCGGTGACGACGAGGACCTCCCCGGAGGCCCGACGAGGCAAAACCGATAGAAGGGCAGCGGTGTCGGGAAGTTGTCCTCCTCTGATGTCCAGTCCGAACGCGAAGGCGGGGGGCACTGGGCCAAGCCCGTCCTCCGCGCGGCCGGCCTCCGGCGCGTCGTCGGGGCCGCCGGCGAGCGCGCGCGAGCGCAGCAGCGCCGCGAGCCGGGCCATGGCCTCCAGGAACTCGACGAACCACAACTCGAGGTGGTCTGTGCTCCTGGTCTCGTCGAAGCGCTCCATCGCGGATGCCCTCCAGAGCCACGTGCGGTCCCACAGGTTGGTCTGGGCATCCTCGGGGGAACCAAGGTACGCACCCACACCGTGCTACTCCCACGCACCTCTGCTGGGGTGCGTTGACATTGACATTGTGTTTGTTATTGCTGCGTTGGTATTTGTTTTGAGCTCCTATTTCCAATAACGGTTGTTAATCAGGGGAGGGGTGCCCCTGGCTAACGACAACGCTTAGACGGGATGGGGCACGTCTGGGCGAGAGTGCGCTGCGATCTCCAGATTACGGGCGCGAGCATCAACATGTGGGGGGATACAACCACCCACAAACAGACGTACGATCTTTGCTGTTACTCGGGGCGGGTAACGAGCGATACGCGTCAGAGGATAAGACGTACAAATTCGACCAGGGATTCCTTGGCGAACCCAGCCGTGGTGACGAGGAAAGGGTGGTGGTATCGGATCGGCGACCGACCATTGATCCATGTCCCCCCACTCGGGGCGCCAGGCGCAGCAGGAGATGGATATAGGAAACGTGGCCTCGGAGGCAAGGAATTGGCCCACATCCCCGCTCGGGCCCCTCGGAGGCTCTCGGGGCGCAAGCAGGGGCATGGCTAACATTTCGATCGCCTACAGGAATATTCCCGACATGCGACGTCCTGATTTGTTGCAGGACGGCGTCCCTGGAAGTCCCGACCCTTTCCCCGGGACCGATTTCTCATCCCGAGTCGTTTCTTGACGGTCCCGAGGCCCGGCGAGGGCCCCTTGGGGCCGAACATCGCCCAAAACCTCCCGCCCGGATTCAGCTGTTTGCGACCATGCCCGAGTCTCCTGGCCCCCGTCGCGGTACGGCAGCACGCCCACCGCGTCCAGCAGCGCGAGCCAGCCCTCCAGCGGCAGCCTGTAGGGAGCCCGCAAAAGACGTACGCGCCCAGCTATGTACATGAACACGGCCCCTCGATCCGCGAGACCGGCCGCATTATACGAACATTTGCGCAATGCGTGCTCTCGAAACCAGCGTGGATTCATGTACGTGTACGTCCTTCTGTCGCTCCTGAGCCTGGGCTGCCGCGGGGCGCCCGCCCCGACACCTGCCGCGGCGGCGGGCGCCTCGGGCGGGGGCGCCCCGGCGCCCGCGCGGGCGAAGGCGAGGAACAGGGGGCGGAGCACGGAGGACAAGTGCCTGGGGATGCTTTCTGTGTCGGCCAACATAAAACGACGCGAAGATCGGGACAAAATCGGATCGGGATAACTCGAAATCTCTGAGAATCGTCGGGTTTGGAGGATGTATTGGGCGCCGCGGCCGCTCCAGAGCGTTCCGGCACGCTCTGAGAGCGCTCCGGAACGCTCTGGAGCGATTTATCCCGATCCTATAAGCCTGTTTTACAACAACCCCAGACGTGACCGCGTCGTAAAAAAGAAATCGGGGCGGGAGGTGCTTGCTATTTTTTCGGCCCTGGGCGGCCCTCGCCTGGCCTCGCGAGGCCGTCAAAAGAGCGACCTTGGGACGAAAAGCCGGTCCCGGGGACAGGGTCGGGACTTCCGGGGACGCCGTCCTGAACAAATCAGGACGTCACGTGTCTGGGACCTGCTCTTGTCGCTTTGGGCAGCCCCGCGCGTGGCCGCGCGCGCACCAGAACTGCGCACCCCCTTCGGACATGCGCCACCGACGAGGTCAGGCTCACTCTCCGGGAGGAGGAAGGGGGGCAGTCGGGCCCGATAACCCGGCTTACAGTGGAGGCCAGTCCACGAGAACCCTTCCACAAGAAACCCAACCCTGAGACCCCAGGGCGTCCACCGATTTGTGGTGCGGGGGCGCCACGGCTTCCACAGCAAAGCCATCGAACACCAAGAAACCCAGGGCACCCTGAAGGCAAGCAGGGTGTCTCTTGGCATGGGCCCCCACTGTATCGCCAGACCCTAATAGGGGGCAAACAAACCTACCTCGCTTTTGACCACCCTCGCTTCCAAGAGATACCAAGCGATGCCAAACTACGGCCTGTACTGGTCAGGCCGCTTGACGAGGAAGCGCGTGGTATGACTTGGTTTTGCCTGGAAGCGAAAGCGGGGTAGGTAATTCACGCTCTGACCTAGAGAAAAACAGTCTCCTGCGGCAGACCGCCTCGACGACCTCGCTGTGGAGGACGTCGTGGCGCCACTGCGCCGCGCGCGCGGCGGCTTTGCGGGCGGCCAGCAGGCTCTTGCCGAAGGTGTTGTGCAGCGCCCTCAGCGGCGAGAGCCCGGAGGCCCTGCCGGCGGACAGCAGCGCCAGCCGCACAAGCAGGTCCAGGAAACCCGCACGGGTCACCTCGGCTACACGCAAGAGTGGCCCTGGGTGAGAGCGACCTTTGGTGCGCGGCCCAGAGGGGGCGCAAGGTGGCCAAATCCGAGCGCGCAATCAGCTACTATCGTATCGCACCGCGCTCGGAGATCGGGGGCACCCCGATGAGCCCGCACCAAAGGTCACTGCGGCAAAAGGTCACTCTTACGCGCAGTCGATCACCACCCGGCCGCCGCCGGGCGCCCCGGCCGCGCCAGGCGCGCGCCGGCTTGCTGCGACGGGCGCCGCGGCCGCGATGACGAAGTGCGCGTCGGCCTCCCCGAGGCCGAACTCGCCGGTCAGCAGCGCGCCCTGCACGAGGAGGTGGGCGTACTCGTGGAGCGTCACCCCGAAGCTCAGCGGCCACTGCCGGTCCGAGGGGCGGCGCTGTGCGTTCTCCCAGTCGACGGAGCAGAACGAGGAGTAGAGCATCTGCACCTCGCCGTAGGCCCGCCCCAGGAAGTCCCGGACCGCGTCCTCGTCCTCGCCCACGAGCTCCGCACAGGACGCCAGGCCCCAGTCCACCTCGAAGCGCCGCTCGCAGAAGCCCTGGTGCCGCAGCGGGTCCTCGTGGTGCGCGAAGAGGGAGCGCTCGACGTGCCACTCCGCGGGCCGGCCGCCGTCCCCCGCGCGCAGCTCGCCCGGCCGGCGGGGCACGAGCCACCGGCACGCCCGCTCGCCCGCCGGGCGCTGGGACACCTGGAGGGCGTTGAAGCGCACGACGTCCGCTTCCAGCGGGCCCGCCGCGCCCTCGCCGCCCACGGGCTCCCGCCGCACGCGGCGCGGCCTCATCCCGACGGCCAGCTCCGGCGCGAGCCGCGACGTGGCGGACGTCAGCAGCCGGCCGCCCACCTGGAAGCAGTAGAGCAGCTGGCCCCGCGGGGCCATGAGGTAGGCCACGAGCTCCTCCCCGAACCTCGTCATCCTCACGCCCCTCGCGAAGGAGTCGGCGGAGGTGAACACCCACGCGGTGGGCGCGCCCGGCGGCAGCTCGGGCCCGGAGATGCCCGGCACGTAGCTCAGCCGCACCTCCCGCCACCCGTCGCAGACCCAGCAGCAGCTCTTCCGCGCCGCCGCCGCCCACGGCTCCGCGGGCGGCGCCGCCCCCGCGGCGTCGGAGCCCGGCCCCGCCGCGGAGCCGCCGAGGCCGAGCGGCAGGGCGCCCTGCGGCTCCGGCGGCCCAGCTGCGCCCGGAGGCTCGGGTGCAGCGCTGGCGCCGGGGGGCGCGGGGCTGGCGCCTCGGCCCGCTGGCGGAGGCTCGCCGGGGCCCCCCGCCGCCTCGGCCTGCGGCTCGGGCACGAGCAGGAAGCCCCACGGGTCCACGCGCGCACCCACCCAGCCGTCCCCTGGCATCTCCAGGAGGCCGTTGCCCTCGATGTGGATGCCGAGGACTGAGGTGTTCTCCCTCATTCCGTCGGCGAGGATCCGGCAGAGGGCAGCCGACAGGTCGCAATTCTTCAGGTCTACGTGCTCCAGCTTTCCCAGCGAGAAGGCTTGCGCCAGCTGTCGGCAGGTGTCTTCGCCTCCAGCCTTGCCGAGAGGATTCCAGGACAAGTTCACGTTCCTCAACGCGCCCGCGGCGGACCCGTTCTCCCGGATGCCCCGGGCGAGGTCGCGGCCGCTGTCGCCGGAGATGTGGTTCCAGTGGACGTCCAGGCTCTCCAGCGTCCTGTGCCTCTCCACGAAGGACCCGATTTGTGCACCGCCGTGGTAGATGGAGTTCCCGCTCAGGTCGAGGGAGACGAGCTGCTTGCACGCCGCCAGGCAGCCCATGAGAGCCTTGCAGCCCGAGTCGTGAATCTGGCTGTCCGACATACTGAGGCTACGCAGGTTGGTCAGCCTGCTGAGCGCTCTGCAGAGCGCGCTGGCGTCGTGCCCGAGGCTGTTCTGCGAGATGTCCACGGACACGACGTCCTCGGGCAGCGCCTCCAGGAGGTAGGCCGCCCCCTGCTGCGACAGGCCGTTCGAACGCAGGCGCGCCTCCCGCACGCCCGCGGACGAGGCGCGGATGGTGCTGGACATGGCCTCGGCGCGCGCGTCCGTCATGCAGCCGTGCTCGAGCGCGAGGCAGGTGCCCGCGTTGCGGATGATCCCCGTGGTGACGGGCAAGATCTTCGCCCGGGAGCACGAGCGCACCAGGCCGGCCATCGTCTCCCCGAGGCCCGCCGCGGGCGCCGCCTCCCTCGGCGCCGCCGGCGGCGAGCCCCGGCCGGCCGCCTGCCGCTCCGAGGAGCTGCGGCTCCCGCCCACCGCCTGCTCCAGCAGCGGCAGGCTGTCCTCTGACGACCTACCAGACCACCCCGACCCAACCCGAAGACCCGAATTTCGGGTTGGGGGGGAGGTAAGGGTTCCACGTGCGTGTTTCGATGTCTCCCGCCCCCCTCCCACTGGAAATCGAGGGTAAGTTTGAGCCTTCGGGTTGGGTTGGGGTGGTTTGGTGGGTGGTGATCCTCGCAGGGCGACGCCCTGCCCTGCGACGCGCGGGCCGTGTGCGGCGGCTGCGGCGGCTCGCCGCCCGGCAGCGGGGCGCCGCCCCTGCGCGGCGGCTGGCGCGCGGAGAGGTCGCGCCCCGCGCGCAGGCAGCGGTCGAAGAAGCGGGCCTTGCGGAGGCCGTAGTCCTGGACCTGGCGGGCAGGGAAGCAGCTCCCCATTTATGGCTACAGTCGGGGCGCTGACCTAAAGAACCCTAAAGAAGGAACGAGGCCCCTTCTCTCCACAAGTTAAGCTTCGATTTCCTATCGAAAACATAAGGAGAACCTGAGGCAAGCTGTGAAACACTCAAGGAACGCGGAGCCCCTCCCCAACCGAAAGGGCTCCTTCTTCAGGGCCCCGACTGTACGGCCTCGCGGGCCGGGAGACCCCTGGCCGCGAGCCCGTGGATACCTGGCGTGGCCCTTCGCGGAGGCCCCGCGCGGACCAGGGTCCGTGCGCGGGCGACCGCGCATCCACGGGCTCGCGCCCCGTGACGCCAGACCGCGAGGGTGCAGACACGAGCACGTCGGCCGCCCGCGGGGGCCTGCTCCTCTCTGGCGCACGCCTGCATCTCGTCGAGGGGCAGCCCGCCCGCGGCCCAGAGGCGCGCCAGCGGCAGCCCCTCCACGGCGGAGACGAGGGCCGCGGGCCTCGTCGCCTCGGCGGCGCCCGCCGCCGAGCGCGCTCGCGCCGAGGGCGGCTCCTCGAGCATGCCGAAGCGGTGCTCCGCCTCGTCGAACAGCTGCGGCGGCGGCAGCGACTCCTCTGGGAGGGGCGCCGCCCCTACACCTGCACCAATCCAGGCCAGGCCTGCATCCTGGGCCCAGGATCGGTGCGTGCGCTCTCCCGGCTCGGCCAGGAGTCGGGAGCGGCCAAGAGGGGGGTGTCCAAGAGGGCGGGGTGCAAATCATGACCGGCGGCATGTGCGCGACGTAATGAAACAAGAAGAGGCGCCATGAAATCTGGGGAAATATCATGGGCCCCTCCATGATGTCCACCCCCCCCTAGTCATCACCCCCCCCTTTTCCGCCCCCGAAGGGGGGCAGAGGTACAGGTCCCGGGCCCGGGATCGGCCTCGCCAGGATCGGCGTGTGTCGTTCATGGCTGGCGCCCTCCACAGACCTCCGACGTCGTGCTTTTTTATATTGCGTCGACCCCTCGAGGTCTGAACCTATTCCCCAGGACCGGCGTTTCATCCTGAGTCGTTTTTGGACGGTCCCGAGGCCCGGCAGGGGCCCCCCAGGGGCCGACAATGGCGAGACACCTCCCGTCGTGACTTTGTCATTGCTCGAGGGGGTCTGGGTCTGGTCCTCCTGCACGTCGTCCAACCGATGGTGCCGCTGGCGCCAGCACTGGTTGAACTGCCCCTCCGCGGCCCTGCGCTGGCGCTCCGCACGCTCGGCCCTCATCGGCTGCGCGCGGCAGTGGCCCCAGGCAAGAATGGCCGCTGGTGCGCGGCTTCAGGGGGCCGCGGGAAGGGCAAACTGAAGCGAACAGGCCAGTGCTGGGATAGAGTTAGGTCGGGCATGCCCCCCTACATGTGGCGAAAAATCCCAAATAGTCAAACATGCTCCCCAACTGTCAAACAGATTGCAAAAAAAAAAAAACATCCCCGTATATGTTGTACTATATTTGAATGTTCTAGAGGGGCAGGCCCGACTTAAGAGTAGAGGCCTCCCAGATAGGGTCGGGGCAGGCGGGGTCGGCTCGGTGTGCAGCCCGACTTTCGCCACGCCGACGTCGCCGATGCACCGCAAACGTCGCCGATGCATCGGCGATGTGTCAGCGATGCATCGGCGATGCGGCGCGATTCTCCGACCCCATCTACTCGGACCCCATCCGGGAGGCCCAGACGGAGGAAACGCTGTGAGCCCGCACCAAACCCAGACCCCCGACGTCATGACTTCTTCCTTACTTCGACCCCCAAAAGGTCTCGACCCACTCCCCGGGATCCCGGCTTTCCATCGTGAGTCGTTTTTTCTGACGGTCCCGAGGCCCGGTGAGGCCCCCCCTGGAGGCCGAACATGCTGAAAAACCTCCCGTCGTGCTCTCTTCACACCGCGAGGGGGTCTGGGCAGGTCGCTCCGCCGCAGGGCCACATCTCACGCGCAGGCCGACCTCAGCGCCGGCGCGCTCGGCGGCTCCGCCCCGGCGAGGCCGCCCCACGACGGGTCGGCCGCCTCTGCCAGCGGCGCGGGCGCCCAGGGAGCCGCCCTCGGGCGCCTGCGCCGCCCCGCGCCGCCGCCGCCGCCCCCGTGCCCGCCCCGCGGCGCGGGGAGCCCGGGCAGAGGCTCCATGGCGCCCGCGGGGCCACCGCGGAGGTGCACGGCCCGCGCGCGCGGCCGGCACTGCAGCGGCGCGACGGGGCGGGCCCGGGCACGGCGCGGTCGCGCGGAGCTGCGGCGGCGGCGGGCCCCCGCTTTTTTGAGCCGGGGCTGCGGGTGCTGAGGGGCGCGCGTGCCTGTCTGAGGCACTGCTCGAAGCAGAGTGCACTGTGCAGTCCGCAGTGAAATGTCCGCGCACCTCAGCCTGCCCACTCGGATATGACCACAGCACCCTTTGAACATGTGGTGCCCTCTGGCCGTGGTATCACTGGGAGCGTCACCAAGAAGCCGGATAGAGAGGCCCGAGGCCCGACATCTCCTGAAACTGATGTGGGCCCCCATTGCAATTTTGAAGAAATCGCCGGAAATGGTCAGGAACGTTTGCTTAGTGTGTCGCTCCGCTCCGCGGGGCGGGAGGCTAGAAAGAGCTCGGGACGTTGACGCTCGGGGACGGGGACATGGTTTGCGTGTCGCGGCGAAGCGTGCTTGGTCAGAATCGTCAGCGCGACAAGCTAAGCACCACTGTTGCTGATCGTAAGACTGATCCAATCCTGGAGCTCCTTAGACTTCGAGTCTAATCTCGAAGTGTGATAGGGTATCGTAATATTTCCGTTGATCTAGATGCTCGATCTCGTCCCAGAATCCTTGCGACAGTTTGAGTTGTGTCACACGCTCCTCTCTGCAATCTGCGAATGCCTTCGGCAGATCGGTAAGGGTCAAGGCTTTCTTCCTCGTCCCCAAAGACGAAAGCGCTGATGTACAACACATATGATTCAACCACTGGTCTACGTTGCCCCTTTTGGTGCCCAACAAGGACTCTCGGCATCCCAAGACGGCCCAGCAGACCCCAAGAATGACCCCAGGAGGCCCCCAAGACGGCTGCAAAGGCGAGGGTTCCCAAGAGACGACTGGTAGATCCCAATATGCCCCCAGGAGATGCCAAGAGGGTCCAAGAGGCCCCTTAGACAGCCCAGGAACCCCTCGAGAATCACCCCAAGACAGAGCGAAGTGCAGCCGAGAAGCTCCAAGAAGCTCCCAAGACGACCCTAGAAGCTCCGCAGAGGTTCCGAGAAGCCTCCAAAAGGCCGCAACAGACCTCAACGCACGAGAACACCTTAACGGGCAAATCAACGACAAACCCTGGGCAATGATGATTGAAAGTCTAATACGGCTAAATGAGACACCGAGAGACCCTCCAGGCTGTCTGAAGGGCCCCATGTGACTGCCAAGACGGCCTAAGAGGCCTCTGAGATGTCAGGAGGTATTCGGGACGCCACCACACGACTGCGACGCCCCCCAGAAGCCACCAAGAGGAGCGCATATCCCCGAGAGGCCCCAAAGACTTTCAAGGATGTCTCCAAACAGACGAACGAGGAGGAGCCCAAGAAGCTGGCGAGAGAGTCCCTCAATAGTGGTGCCACACTGCTCTCGTTCCAGCGTGACTCGTCCGTCCGCCTGCTCCTCCGTCCCTCGCGCTTCTAATCAATACTCGGGCGCGTCGGGCAACAAACAAAATCACACATAACCACACCATGTCCTGCCACCAGCCGTGACCACGGGACCGACCAGACAGTGGCGGCGCGAGCGAGGAGGTGGCAAGAGGGGGGCGGCATTCTGAAAGCGGTGACAGCGGCGGGGGGGCCTTCCAAGAAGAAAAGGGGCTTCCTGGAAGCCCTCTCGGCTTGGACGGAGCCTTCTTAAAAGCATCTGGGCCCCTCTGTGAGGGTCCTGTCCTTCAGAGAAGCCCCCCCTTCTCCTCAGGAGGGCCGCCCCCTTACTGCCACCAACCTTCCCGCCACCCCCTTCCCGCCGAGGGCGGACGAGGCCACCCCACGAGCAGACCCAGGCCAGACGGGGCAAGCGGCCCAGAGCTCTTTGGGCGCAGCGGCAAAGATCCTGGCCGCGCTCTCAAGGCAGACGTGGGGTGCACGTGGCCGAATGTTGCTAGAAGTGCCCCTGGCCAAGGAAGCCCCCCCACGGCTGCCGCAGCCCCCTTCACAAGGCCCAGAGGGCCCCAGGGGCCCCAAGCTGAAGCGAAAAGCTGAGGGCACCTTGAATCAGGGGCACCTCCAGCAGTCCCGAGACTTGGACACGAATCGAATGAAATAGAGCCCCAGAGAACAGAGCAGGCCAGAGGAGAGTTTGATCGGCCTGTTTTCCACCACAACCACCATAAGTTGGAGGGGGAGGGGGTCCTCCTCCTCCTCCTCCTCGCCCTCGGTCCTCCTCTTCGTCCTCCCCCCCCTCGTCCTCCACCTCCTTCCCCTTCCCCCCTCCAACTTATGGTGGTGGTGGTGGAACACAGGCCCATCAGAGATGAAGGCTTCACCCGGGGGTGCCCGCGGGGCTGCC